GTGACTCGTCTCGATAAGGCTCCTTGCAGCGGCACTCATAACCACCTTCCAGATCGATGCATTCTGCATAGCGATCGCAGTCGTTCAAGTTCGATGATTCACACTCGTTGATTACTAAAATTTGTCCATATTTTTTAATTCTAAAAAAATACTGGAGATCTCTATTGAGTGAGCAAAATCGTATTTCGGAGGATCAACTTGGTCAGGCTTTTTTTAAGGTGAGTTACTCAAGTCATCAACAGAAAACAATCCAGAATTGTTGAGATCACACAAGGATATACGCAAAATTCAGATACTTGTATTTCCTGTAATCCATGAATATACTGCTAAGACGCATATATTTTACATATATTTCCGGCAATTTTCAATCTGGCGTGCATGCAAAAACAAGTTACAAATCTTTTGAATTCGAGTGTTGGCCACGAACTTTCAGAATTCTGGACTGTTTTCTATTTCCGCTCTGAAGCTGAAACAAAATACTGAATTCACGTCCGTTTCAAATTAGTATAAAGTAAGGAGATGTTCTAACACATCGCTCTCATGAACATAATGCGGTAAATAAGGTATGAAGCTTTTTTTAAATGGATGTAACAATAAGTTGTGAATCTAGGTCTGGAGTCATCGATCAAGAAGAAAAGGGTTTGCAAGCCTAATGGATATCCAGGTACTTGAAATTCGGCATTTGCCGCTGTAGATAAAAAATCAAATTTCTGATTTTTTCAGTTCAAATTTTTGTTCACTTCCAACGGTTGAATTTCGAAATTACTACAAAAGTTGAAACTATTATCCTGGTTCGTAGACGAATTTTGCCATAAAAAAAAAAAAAAGGAGGAACTAACTTCACTCAGTCGTCTAAAGAACCGCCATGCCCAGTGAGTGACAGAAGAGATAATTGTTGCAGCAAGAGGGAAAATCAGGGCGAAGTGAAAAAGCGTGTATTTGGTATCACTGTTCCCAACTCAGTACTTCTATTTCTATTCATTCCCAATTCAAATTTAATTTCTTATAAAATATGAATTCAAACATACTGTAGTTGCAGGTGGTGCCCGGATGGCGTGGATTACCATCATGGTAGCCTTCTCGACAACGACATTCATAGCCCTCCGCTTTATCAATACAGTCCGCAAATCGCGAACAATTATTCAGTGACGGATTGCGACATTCATTCACTTGCTGGAAGCATTTACGCCCGGGCCTATTACGATTCGGCGATTGGTCTTCGGTATTGACCGGACAACGACACGTGTAACCATCTGGTAAATCTTGACAGACAGCCAGTGGATCGCAATCGTTCAACGAACGATCAAGGCATTCATTCACCTGCAAAAAATAATATTTTACGATAAGGATTTAAATACTCAAGGATTTAAATACTCCACAAATTATTTCTAGCAGCTATTTTAGAACAAAAATGTGAACCGTTGCGCTGCAAATATTTCGAAAAGTGGTCTTTGCCCTCCTGATCATTCACTCTGTATATCACAGAAATCGTCAACAAAAAAGTTTTTTTCGTGATAATTTGTGAATATTGAGAAGGCCGTTAAAAAGCAGCTGCATAAATATCCTTTTTTTCAGCAAAATTTTCACAAATTTTTAGATTTTAATCCTGCTATATTTCATTACTTGGTTAAAAATCAGATTAAAAAAAATGCTTGATTCAACCGCCTTGTTTTTAAAATTTGTCACAAAAATTATTTTTTAGAGAATTAGCATTTATTCAAAGTTTCAGAATTCGAATTCTTACTAGTATTTCCGGCCGCAGTTTTCTTCTGAAATAGAATTCTTTCGGATTCGTATTTTTTTGTTTTTTTAGATTAATTTTTTGATTAAAATTAAGAAGTAAAATTACAAAGCTGACCTGCTCAACGCATATACGCCCGGGTCGATTTACTAAATCCGGTGATTGATCGATGTAACCATCACGACAGCGACATGTGTATTTGTCGCCTGTTTTTGTTTCACTGCAAATTGCTGCTGGATGACAATCGTTCTGGCTCGCATCCAGGCAAATCGGTTCCGTTAGGATGCATATCCTGCCCGGCTTATTTTTGCTATCTGGCGAACGATCCACATAGCCTTGCAAACACTCGCACGTATACGTTTTCGCTCCAGTTGCACGACAAGTGCCAGCCGGATGGCAATCATTCAGAAGTGGGTCTTGACATGGATGGCCTGAAATGGGCACGTGAAAAATACTGCAACATTTGTCTAATGTTTTTTAAACACACAACTTATGCCTATAATTCTAAGATCTCTTTAGAATGAACAGTCAAAAATGCAAAATGTTTATATTTCATCACAACTATACCACAATTTTCGAAGAAAACAGGGTTAATACACCCTAAAGCGAAAAACATTAGTCCTTCCTTTGTTCAGTTAAATGATATTTTGCTATCAGCAGTATGTAATAACTTTCGCCATACCTTCATAAATTTATACAGGATCTTGAAAATCTCTACGTGTATCATGAATTTTGTTATTACCAAGGAGGATTTTATTGTTTTATTAATATTAATTGATAAGCTTTATATAACGGTATGCAGCTCAAGATCAAACGGCCCGGTTAGCTGAGCTCGGCGTTTGGAAGTATCTCAAAAAAAAAATCACTAATATGGGATACTTACTCTAACTTTACAGATGATCCCTTTACGAAATTCGGAAAAAGCTGGAAGATGTAAAAAACCCCTAAGTTTTTAGATTAATCCTCTAAGAAATGAGTTTTTTTAAACCATGAATTTCAAACTCAATAAGTTTTCTCAAAGCGCTGCTTTTTTGATCAAAATAACATGTACGTGGTGGAGGAGTAGCAGGTGCTGGTGGTTCACAAACATGTCCACGTTGTGTTCCATCGGGCGAACGATCAACGTATCCATGAGCACATTCACAACGATATCCTTTTGGTTCATCATAACAAATTGCATTACGTGAACAATTGTTTAAGCGTGGATCGCGACATGCACTATCTGAAATTACATGAAATTCGAAATTTTGAAATATCGGGAAATTACAAATGAAAACCCAAAAACGATAATAGCCTCGATATGCAGTTTTGACACTACAGTTAACTGAATTCATTGCGTAATTCTTTAGCTATACGACTGATAATTTACTCAGTTACTTTGACAAATGTTGCATTCCATTGTGCTCAGTTTGCTGGCGATCTTGAAATTCATCCTGCTACTTCAAAAAAAAAAGATGCTGAAATCTTACTTCGTACGCAGATTCGGCCCTTTTTGTCAGGCGGTGACTGGTCCAGGTATCCCTGGATGCAAGTGCATTCATATTTGTTGCCACCGAGCGGTTCGCAAACAGCAGCTGAGCTGCATTCGTGATTTGATGGGCAGACTTCTGAAATGAATTCAGCCTATTCGTAGTCTGAGACAAAATTTTTTAACTTAAATTAAATTAACTATAGAGGAATTAGAAGCACCTGAGAGGGAAGGGAATGTTTCAAACTGTTAAAGTAGATAATGATCTTAAGAAAAAAGACTACTCCAGAAGAAGAATGACAAATTCAATAAAGTTGCGCATGTCAATTCTTACAATCCAGAATTTTCACATGGTACTATAATGAGACTGTAGTAAAATCTAAAAATACCAAAAATATTAAGAACGTCCAAAAAAATCGATATGGGTTCCCTATATTAGTAGTGTTACTAAGATGATCCCACATGCGCCAGATGCAGCCATATCAAAAACTGTGTTATTTTGCAAAAGTTCTGAAAAAAATCTACAGAATTCTGGAAGACTTTATTTTTTGTCAGAAGAATTTAAAATGAACTACCTGGTGTACCACACACGCGTCCGGGTTGGGTAAGCAAATTCGGGGACCGATCAATGAAGCCGTCCTTACATTCACAAGTATAACCTTCCTCCAAATCTCGGCATTCTGCTTGTGCACTACATGTATGTCTTCCAGTTGCACATTCGTCTATCAGCTGCAAACAAAACATTATTAAGTTCCATAAAGGTAAGCAGCTTAAAGGAAGCAGTAAAAATCGTTCGCTGAAAGATTTTGGCAATTTTAAATAAATAGCGCCT